TGCAGACAGAAGGAGCTGTGCCACCACAGCCAGGATATTCCTGACTCCTTGGGATTTGCCAAGCACGATGCTCTCAGTGAGGCTCTCCCGACTGTTCTCACCTCTGCCTACCCAGCCACTGATCTAGACTTTCAACCTCCCACAGCACTTTGACTTTTCTTCCCCCTCAGGCTGCTTTTGGAGTAACGAGTCCCAGAAAGCTCAGCTGGGATATCCAAAAATATTTAAGGAGGTGAGGAATTCTGTTTCTTCATTTATTTATCATTTATATTCATGTTTCTTTACTGATAACATGGGGCAAAAACAACCCAACATCTCTGAAAACAGGGCTACCTAGCATTCATCTAGGTCTACCAACATCTAGGGTTACCTAGCACTCAGCAGGCAAAGCTAAGAGGATCCAACAGTGCAGTTAACATGAAGAAATGCCGTTTGTTTTGCTGTGGTAAAGCTGTAACAACATGGTGATGCTATTGGGAACAATGGCAATTACACAGCAAGCCACTTTAGCATTACTCTATCATTACAGCTTGATAATATGCAATCAAAATGTTATTAGCAATCATCATCAGCATCTATTATTCATTGCTTAGATCAAGCCAAGAAAGGGAAGGCTGCATGCCTACCAGTAACAGGTCTCTGAGCCAGTCTAAGCCCAGGGTTGGAAGGTAATTCCATGGTCATATAGCACTGAGTCACCACAGCATAGCCTTCAGCAATATTACCATCTCAGTTCTTCCATGTATAAAATTGAATAATAATAATCATCATATATATTTCTAGTATTATTAGGAATAATTAACTCAGATAAGTATTAGCATTAATTTCACAGTGGTGATTAATTCAAAGTTAAACTATTTGATTGTAAAATTTAATACTTATATCTAAAGTTGCAGGTATCCAACAGACGCAAGCAGTTACCTGAGGTTGTAAAATATGTGCATCTATATATTTGTGCACAAATGGGTCTATAAAGCATGTGAAAACACACACTCAACCTAAATGGTTAGTTGGTTTCAGCTCCTCCACAGTGTAAATATGCTGGATAAATATGTGTGTGAACTCTGACATGAACAGCTCTAGTATGTAAAGTATCTTCCATGTATGCACAACTTGTTGCAATAATTTTAGTATTTGAATTCTCAGGTTTTTTTCATTATGTTAATGAGCTCTAACATAACAACCAACCTGTATTCCCAATATCTACCACAGTTTGGAAACTCTAAAAGGAGACCTCAAAACAATTCTCTGTTCCTTCTCAAAAAGTTATTTTAGCTTATATTCAAGAGGCAACCAATGTTATATCTATTTCCCTACCTAAATTTGAGTAAAATAATTATACAATTTATACCTTGACAATTACTTGATAAGCTAATAAGGAAAGCATCAGAAATAGATGACTAAAGAAGCACAGTCTGGTATTTTTTAACTGCATACTTCCATCAGGATTTTGTCTTTACCTCTTCAGTGCAACCAGACCTGGCTATTACAAGTAAAAATGCTGTTAAGAAATTCATTACACATCACTATTTTCCCTATTTATTCAACTGTGAAAAATTCTAAGGTAATTCAAATTTAGGTCTCCCAATCTCCCAAATTTAGATCTTTGTAACCTGACTTAATGTGGGCAGGCATAAGTTACCTACACAAACTGACAACCCTCTGCAGAGGTACAAAAATGCATCACCAAGATCCACCCACACATCTTCACAGAGTTCCCCCACCTAGGCATGTACCTCTGACTGGTGTTTTTCACCACCATTTGCATCACTCTTAAAAGTCTCCAAGGTCACTAAGAACAAACAAGTATCACTAGACCATCTTTTCTCATTCTTTGTTCCACTAAACAAGGGGAAAAAAATTCTTTTGTGTGAAATTCTTTTGATGGGAGAAAAGGAAAGAGATGAAGTGGAAATCCATTTTAGAAGATGAAAGGAACAAAATAACTGATAAAGAACCTACCAAGGTAGGTTAATATTTACTGTCCAGAAAAAGAAATTGGGATATTAACATTAAAAAATTACCCTAGTCAGAATTGATTCGTTTATAGAAGTACTTTATTTTCACTTAGTGACTAAGTCACATAGTGACTTAGACAATATTATTTCTGGTATTATCTGGCCAGGAACAAAAACATTGGGACAATTCAGGAAGTAACTGGAGAAGGTCTATTACCACTAGGGCACAGAAACAGATAAATGACATTTCTCTGCTAACAAAAAAAACACCCTGCATCATTTTTCACACCTGTTTTAAAGCATATTTGTTTGATACAAAGAATGCAAAAGAAAATTAAACAAAAAAGTTGAAAAATATATACACTATGCATTCTGGGCAGGCTGCCAATGTGAATACAATACCTCAGTTCCATCAGCAAACGCGGGTGAAAACTGATGAAGCTCCAACCATTTTACACAGGGAGGAACACAGGAGTCCCTTGACTGTAAAGGTACTTCAGCTTCATTCAGTACAAATAGTGAGCTACATCCCAACAGAGAGGGGCACTATTTGATATTTTTGCAATGGTTGGTCTGATTTGCACTTTTCCAGATCCAAACACTTTGCAACTTTTCCAGTTTGACAACTGTGTGTGTCTCTTCTACATCACAGCAGGCAGAGGTGGAGGAAGGAGGTGAGCTCAGAACATATCCAGGTATGGACCACCTAGGTAGTAACCCCTGGTCCAAGTGCTCATCTGAAGTACTCACTTCCTTTCAGCTTTTCCATCCTGGTTTTAGAAAGCACAGAAACACAGAATGGTTTTTTCTGGGTTGCAAGGGACCGGAAAGACCAGCTAGTTCCAACCCCACTGCCATGGGCAGGGAACTTTCCACTAGATCAGGTGGCTCAGAACCCATCCAGCCTGTCTGGTCAAACCCCAGCCTCCATCCTCACCCGGTTCTGGGCATTATCACATCAAGGAGGGAGCTCCCAAGGGCTGTCTTGACAAAGTGGACAGCCCAAGGCACTGCGATGTCCAGACCCTGGCTGGGCTGTGCCCTGTGAAATTGCAGGACATACCCAAGGAGAGTCCCCCAAGGCTCCATCCCTGCTGCACTGAAGTGGCACCATGGGCACCCGGCACATCCCCAAAGCCTGACAGCACTGAGAGCCCTGAGGACATCTGTGCCCAGCCCTTGGGGCAGGACCATGACCTGTGCCAGTACCAAAGCATCTGGTACATCTGTTACTGGTAAGTAAAAAGGCACAATTTCCAGATGATGCACGCTAGTATTGATTTTATTTGAATGCAGTTCACACCGGTTCTTTACACCAGCTGTCAGCAAGGTCTGGATGACCTTGTTTTAAGTGTTTATGTTCTCCAAAGAAAGAAACATTATCTGAAGCCTGGTTTATGTTTATTTTAAGAGACCAAAGAGTTTATTTTGAAGAATCCAACTGCAAATGCATAAAAGACTATGATAGATACTCTGAAGTATGAATTGGAAAACTTGAAATACATTGCACATGTTGTATGGGCCACTGACAAATAACAGGAAATCAGTTTGTGCTTACGCAGTTGGGAGTATCCAAACTGTCATTTGGTTGTCTTATTTGTACAAGATGTTGGACAAAAATTAAAACAGAAACAAATGTGCAATAAATTTTGCGTCTTGTAAGTTTAAAGCATAGTTACAAATGAACTGTCATAGCACTAAAAAGGCCAATCTTGAGCCAATGCTAAGCAGTCTCCATTTGATCATATTCTCTTTCCTGAATTCTTCCTTCTTATGACTAGAAATTTCTAGAAACACCCTTATTCTGCATGGACCACTGGCCCTGGCTAGTGGTCCATGCACTGAGCACTATTCAGACACCAGTGTGACAAGTTATTGCAGAAGCACTGTCACTGAAAAACCCCACATGGTTAAAACAATGCCACCTTGTTCAAAATAAGTAACAAGGCTGTTTTGCAGCATGTCCTGGAAACAGATTTTTCCCACTCCCTATTCCCTTACCCAGTCCTTTTCTTGGATTATCTCTGTAAAGGTCCTTACATACACAGCTGAAGGCCAAGTCCCCATACAAGCTCTTGGGACAGCATGAAGTTTGTAAGTACCTAAGCCACAAGGTAACAGACAAACTATTTGTTTCTAGACCTGAAGCTTATGAGCTGCATTTGAATTTAACTCTCCTATCATTTATTTGCACTGCTAGAGATAACCAGCAAAAGTAGCAGAGCAAATACTGGTGCAGTATCACATATATTGATAACGTGAAATACTTACATGATGTGTCTAGCAAAAATTTGTTGTGGAAAATTTATACAGACCCACACACACACAAAAAAAAAAAAAAAAAAATATTGGAGCACAAAAAGCCTCCCTAGCAAAAAATAACTAAGACCTGAGAAGATAATCAGTGTGACTAGTATGACATAGACTTATCTTATCCCTGTCTTTGTGGTGATGTACACTTGAACGTGCAATTTGTGCACACACAGGCAACAAGCATATTGGTATCTTAATTGACAAGTATTATGGGAATGAAAATCAGTTTAGAAATTTATTTGGATTACTATTTATTCCCAGTTGTCATAAAACACAGTATAACCTCCACTGCAGTTATATTTCATCCAGACAATCCTAACTACTTCCAAAGCAGGATTATTTACTAACCTCAGTACACTACCCCAGCAGCAAGAATTCCCAAAGGACACATCCCAACACAGTAAGCATTTCAAACTTTTTAAGTAAGTTTGATATAGAATTTCTAGGAGAAGGAAAAAACATGGCAACCTGCAAAGAAGCATCAAGAGTTACCTTATATTCTCCATTATTCTTTGTTTCTACTGTTAAAACTCATTACAAACTCTAATTCAACAACAGGAAATGCATTCAAGGAATAGAAGGAGTAGGAGCTGATGACAATCTGAATAATCTTACTACAATAGCATCGGTCAGCTACCAACACAACCCAGCAGCAGTCTGGAAAAGAAAGAGATGGATCTATTCCAAAAACAGCAGGAGGGAAGGTTATGGGAAAAGCAGAGGACTTACCTCCACAAAGAGCTCTCCAGAACTTTCCCCATATCAGTATGATAATACTTGGTAAGGATCAGGATCACCTAAAAGAAAATGAGAATAAATAGATTTAAATATGTAAACTGATGTAAGAAACAGAAACAGACATAGGTAGCATGATTTTGGGAAAAACAAAAGTGAGGCTTCTGAAAATCTGAACAGCATTTCATCTCATTTTTAACTCTTAAGTGTTTTGCTTTTTAGGCTAGGTTTTCCATTTCTCTTTCTGGGAAGAGTGATTTCAGCACTTGAAGTTTTCTGCAAACCTGGTGACTGTGAAAGATTGCCTATTTCACATAAGCAGTGAAGTTGGAATTGTCACATAAATACATCACTTGACATTCTTCAAGGAATTTTTATTATTTTCTGATTAAGAAAATCCAACCTGGTTGCTAGTTTAAATTTAGGAGGCAAGTCTACAGACACAAATTTTTTTTAATCCGAAGTGTTAAACAATGGTGATTAACTTTGATTATCCAGATTCAAAAAATCAGGAAAAAAAAAAAGCTCTGGCCTTCCTTAAGGATCATGAAAGCAACTTTCATAGCTATCACTTTTCATTTCTTGAAAAATCACTTTTTCCCCTTCATGAATCATCTCTGTGCTCAGCAAATTGCTCATCTACATCAGCAATAGCCAACAAAATACACAAACAAATTTTATACAAAAGATCTTCATCCTAAGAAAATAGTCAGCAAGAAATATTTTCCATCTGCTCAACATGTGCCAAAATCACTGGTCAAATACTGTAAAGCACTAGCCCACCAGCAGTGTATCAAGCTCAATACTATGGTTTATGTTTGGATTTTTTACAGGCTTCTTTCACTTGCTGCCAATCCGTATCAGTGGTTCTTAGAGCCACATGCCCACAGCAGCCCCAGAGAGGCAGAACAGGCTGGTCCCCTGCACAGCTGGAGACTTTCTTTAATGTGGGGTCAACACCAGTCTCCAACAGTTTGGAGCAAGCTGTTATTTAACTGGCACTGCTCTGCTCTGACCACCAGATGAAATCTACAGCAAACAGCAACTGTAGGTGTTCACTTTGATTATTCAGATAATTAATATGCCAGTGATACATTTATGCTGCACTCCGTGTATGCTGGAGATTGTGAAAGAACAGAATTATAGACTGAGGATGTTATTACATGGAAATAATTCAGTGTTTTACAGAACTGAAGTATAATACCAGTCTCACTCAGGGTTAGCCAAATCTAATAAACTCTCAACACGTATTCCTGGATGTATATTGAAATAAGCAAAAGTGGAAACAATCCATAATTCACAAGTAGTATTATTCACTCCTATTCTCAAAAGAGTCATAATCTACCAGATCACTTTTTTGGAATTTGATTATTTATAAAAATAAAGGTTTGGTTTTAAAAAAAAAATATAATAGGTTACTACAAGACTTAGAAATCAAAGAAAAATAACCATTTCCCAAAGGAGAATGTATCTGTGGATGAGACTCCTGGCTACAGCCCAAGCACGTTCTACCAGGTCAGCTATTTATTGTATCATCAGTGTTTTAACTACAGCGTTTTCTGGTGCTTGCAGTTAAGAAGAAAAAGACAGAAAGTTCACTACTGGGAGCATCTATTGGCTCCAATTATTAAGGAAAAAGTTTCAGACTGTGCCTTTCCAAACAAGTATAATCCCTCTTAAGTCACAAAAACTGATCTGGAACTCATTTTCTTAAGAGATACAAGAATGCATACTTGGTACATGAAAATAAAAAAGAAAATACCTAAAAATACAAGAGATTATACTTTCTTTCCTTCTCTTTATGCAGAAATGGAGGCTGAATCCTGAACTTGGTGAATTAACTTTCTTCATCCCTGTACATGCTAGAATTATAAATTTTCAAATTCAGACAATTTTCAGCAATGTGTGTTGGAGCCATGCTGCCACAGGCTAAACCAAATGTTCCATTCCTGAATTAAACAGATGAAAATCACACACAGAAAACCCTACTGGGTCACTCTTAGCCTACCTGCTTTGAGCATAACCTGTATGGATGCACCAACAAAGAACCTTCCAGAAAAGCCATTTCTGTAACTCAGCACCTGTCAGGAATGTTAAAGACTGCCATGCTCACCGTACTGCTGGCTAGCTACAGTTCATCTGTGCACACACGGAGCCAGAAGTTCCACACACTTCACCTGAATGCCTTTCAGCTAACTGCAAACTGCACTGGGGAGCAGCCATAAGCAGTGAAACATCTTCTTGATGCTGAAGGATTGCTGCTTTAAACCGAGTCAGAGCTCTGAAAAATAGATGTCAGTACTTTCCAATCTGACTGGTAAATACATGGAAAAATTTAAATACTTTATTTTGCCCTTTGGAAGTAGAGAGAATGACTTAGTAGGAAAAACAAAGCCAAAAGAAGCCATATTTGAACTCTCCAACAACATTAGCAGATTCCTGTCACAACTTAAGGAGAATGAAGCTGAGGGGCTGACCATAATGTCAACTATGCCAGTGCATTTCATCCCAGTATCTGAATAATGAAGGCCAGCTATTTAACAGACTTTGCAGCACAGTCCTTTAGACTGTGGGCATCTTTTCAGGTGATCCTGAAAACAGGATCCAGGCTGACCATAATGGCAGTTTTTCTAAATTAATTAACAGATCCAAAGACCAGAAGGAATTATTTCACAATGAAAGCATAAAAGTCTTCAGGATCTCTGGATTCTACCCATCATTTCTAAGAGCAGAAGCGTGTTTTCGCTGATTTCATTTTAATGAGACTCCATAATTATGAGCATTTTACAGGCTGGATTGAAGCCAGTGGTTCATACACATGGTTCTCCTAGTGAAAGTGCTTGGGTGGCCTGTGGCTGGGGAGAGACACAGCAACAACTGAGCAATGATGAAAGATATTATTCTTAACCAGCTCATACTACCATCAGTCATGGACAGCTGCAATAAATTTAACTTTTTTCTGGTATTATTTTACAGCTAAAATAAATTTAAGCAATGAAGGAAAATTCGATTTATCAGATTTTTTACTTTAAGTTGGATTTATAGGATTATCTAGAAAATCTCCACTCTATCCAGACTTCCAGAGACTTGTGAAACCATTTTAAACCATTTAACCTTAAATTCACCCACAATTCTTTGAGTACAGAGTTCATTGTCATACTCCCAGAGTATGACAATGGAGGTGACAACAGTGATTACTGTTGTGTGCCAGGAATCTATAAACACCTGATGGTGCTTCTGGACAAAAATACTGAAAAGAAAAAAAAGCAAGTGCAAACTTTCAGATTTTATCAAAAATTGGTATTCTATTACCTGTTTCTTTATCAAAGCCTTTGGTACAGCCCTATCGATAAAGCCAATATTTCTCTCTATGTGCCATGGAAGATAAAGCCTTAGGATTCTAAGAATCAAATGCAATGTGCATTATAAGTTAACTTTCCATGGAAGAAATAATTAGCTCCAATCAATTTCCTTGTCTTGGGACTTCAGAAATTTCTCTACTTCATCTTCCCACTCTTTTTTGGGGGGATAGAGGGACAGTAGGGTGCACAGATGGAATTTTGATTCTCCCACGTCATTCTCCTGCTTCCATAACTTCATTCCTGCCTGTGTGAATTCTCACTGCTACAGTAGTCACAGCTCAAAATTGTTCCCTGAACAAAGGAGTTGAAGCAGTTTAGATCCAAAATCCTTTCTGGATATAGACCTATCTTCAGGGGTGCACTGGGTTTTCAGAGAATGACAGACCAGGATAACAAATGGAAAATTCCACAGATATTAGTACCCATGAATAATGAAAGTTAGAATGATCTATGTTTATTCCCTCTCCTTTCCTGTTGCTCTCCTCTGAAAATGCTTTGTAGCAAGGCTGGGCTGAAAAGAACACCACTTTACGAGACACAATGTGCTTTTAATAATTTCCTAAGAAATTTCTGGCTTTAAGAAGCCCATTTTAATCCTCTCTTTTCATCACCATGTCAGCTAAGAGGGCTGGGAAGGGAAAAAGGAACAAATTCTAGATCAATCACCTTTCCTGGTGTTTATATTTTATCTTTCTGTGGAGGATTTGCTAAGGTCCTTTTCTTATTGATAAACATCAACTTTTGGAAAACTATTTTATTTTTTCCCCATGCTCCCTCCATGATGCTTTTTTTTCATGGACCATTCTTAACAAAGATCTCTCTATTTCTATCCACATACAGATTCTTGCAGATAAAGTTTTATTTAACCCCTGAAATTTGTGATTTTAGATGTTGGGTTTTTTTTTAATCTCTTCAGAAGTTTCACAGCAAAAATCTCATACTTTCAAATGCCCAGTTACAAGTATGATTGCAAGTTTTTGTCTTTTCTCAAGTTTTTAGAAAGTAAGAGCATACTGTAAGTACTTCTGGGCAGCCAGAGCTACCAGGAAAATAAACTCCTCAGACAGATTCAAGTTTCTGCAAACTTTTTAGCATCTGCTTAATTTAATTCATGTGAATGAACCCACTGAAATCCAAAGAAGTGTTTATGAGAGTCACTTAATACTCTGTAGGACTGGAACATAAGCTGCTGTTTTACTCAAGAACAGAGCCTCACTCACCTTTTCAGCTATTTAACTATTCCACTGTCCACCACAACTATTTTGGGGAGATCAAGAGGTTTTAGACACATCCTATTAATTTTTCACTACCACCCCCTGTAATTACAAAACTTTTTTGACACCTAATAATCAAAAAGCTCCCTAACAAATTATAGGCAACCACCTACTGGTTCAATCCCTCAAGCCATTTCCACATTTTGCAGCAGCCAACTCTTCAATCATCATGCTAACAGCAATGTTAATTTTCACATTTCTTATTTAAAATGAAGATTCTTAGGAGAAAAATAAAATTCAGAAAATTATTAATATGAAGGAAGGTACATTACTACAAGGCTATTATATGGTCAAACTACCATACTACTATTAATAACTACATAATAATTTGATTATGCCAGGAAAACAGAAAAAGAGCATTTAGGTTGACTCTGCTGCAGCACTATGATAAAAGGTAAAAAGCAAACATTTAAACCATTACTTAAG